CTCCTCACCCTGTCCTTTTCAGGACTATACAAAAGTATAATTGTAAAAAGCACAATATGCAAATTAGATAAAATACTATTTTTAAGAATTTGATTATTACTGTAAAGTTGATGGTTTAATCACATGTTGAGACAGGTTAATATTGTTACGTATCTGCTCGGTTGTTAATTCCCGGTAATTATGGTCTGGCATGGCCAGGTGGTTAGGGTGCTCGACTCGCAATCTGCGGATCGCGGGTTCGATTCCCCGTCACACCAAACATGTTCGCCCTTTCAACCGTTGGGGCGTTATAATGTGACGATCAATCTCACTATTCGTTGGTAAAAGAGTAGCCCAAGAGTTGGCGGTGGGTGGTGATGACTAGCTGCCTTCCCTCTAGTCTTACACTGCTAAATTAGGGGCGGCTAGCGCAGATAGCCCTCGTGTAGCTTTGCGCGATATTCAAACAAACAACAACAAACCGGTAATTATTCTTTCCGAGGAACTTCAGCCATACAAGTCCTTTCTTAATTAAAACTAGTTTATTCTTTCCCGATACAACTTTCAGTAGTACACAGAATTTCCACAGTCAATACGTTTGCAATCTCGATAACAAAACACACACTTTATATTACCATCACTACCGTTCGCCTGACTCAATTATCTATCTCTATATCTATCCATACCCTTATGCTGTTTTTTTTTTTTTTTTGCCAGGCATCCTATTGTTACGACAGCGGAAGTCACGTAACGCTGGTAACACGTGATGAAATTCTCGAATGATCATGAATTATCGGGGAAGACCGAGTTTGTTCGAGACGCCCTCTTTTTTAGTATGTAAAACTGGCAGGGAAAGCGTGCGGGATTGAATGAAGAGAGTTCCGGGTAATTTATGATTCTGTTTCGAGCTAGTGTGTGTTTTCGAGATTGTGAATCGCTGTGATTTATAACGTGTATTTAAAAAGTTGTTAAGTTTAAAGTGACGAGAAACGTATTGACTGTGGAATTACTGTGTACTAAAAGTTTGTATTGAGAAAGAATAAACTCGTTTAATCAAGAAAGGACTTATATCGTTGAAGTTCCTCGGAAAGAATTTCTACCGGAAATTAACAAACAAGCAGATACGTAACAGTATATTATATAACAGTTATATAACCCTCAGGCGGCATCTTTTGGGTGGTTAACTGCTGCTCGAAATACTGTTGTTAAATCTGAAAATAAAAATATCTTCCTGCTTGATGACAACACATATTCTGATGTCATGGCATCTTGATATTATGTATATCATGCACAATTTGTGAGGTACATTTCTGCAACCTCCAATCAAAATATGTCTTTCTCGTTTGTTTGTTTGTTTTAACCATGCACAAAGCTACACAAGGGCTATCTGTGCTCTGCTCACCACGGGTATCGAAACCCGGTTTCTAGCGTAGTAAGTCCGCAGACATACCACTGTGCCACTGAGGAGGCATGTCTTTCTCGAAGGAGGCAATCTACACACATTGTATAAAACTATTTATAGAGTTATTATTATTTTGTCTCATTATCGAAAGTGAAAGACGAATTTCGCGTGATCAAGTGCTGAAACAATATAAACTGAACACTACACAGACTTGCACTATACGATTTTTAATTCATTCATTTATTTTTGATGAGATATTAATAGTTCATTCCGACTAATTGTATTATCGAAAATTTGGCTTTATCTATATTATATGAAAAATTGATTTAAAGTTAAATAAATTAATGTGCCGAAACGTTTTATCTGATTTAAACATACTGTTACAACAGCGGGAGTCACGTGACGCTGGTAACACGTAACGAGTATCTAGAAGGATCGGGGGAACATCACCAATAATCCAATATTTGCTAGACGCCCTCTATTCCTGTATATAAGCAGGCAAATAAAGCGAGATAATGAATGGAATTGCAGACAGGCAAAGATAGAGACAGACAATTGAGTCAAGCGTGGTAGTGACCATGAGTAAAGTGCGTGAATCGTTGTGAATTATAGTCTGTGTTTAAGTTAAAGTGACTGTGGAAATTAAGTGTAATGCAAAGTTGTATTGAGATAGAATAAACTAGTTTTATTTAAGAAAGGACTTGTATCGCTGAAGTTTTTCGGAAAGAATTTCTACAGAAAATTAACCAACGACCAAAGACGTAACAAATTGAGGTCAGAGAGTGGGACAAAAAAAATGGAAAGGAGAAACGGCAAATGAAACTACAGCTTAGCAATACAATTGATGGCAGCAATACAAGAGCAGCAAAAGAAACAATAAGAACGAGAAAAGAAACAAGAAGAGAGAATACAGAAGTTGTTGGAGGAGAAAGAAAAGAAACAAGAAGAGAGATTACAGCAGTTGTTGGAGGAAAAAGAAAAGAAACAAGAAGAGAAATTACAGCAGTGGTTGGAGGAAAAAGAAAAGAAACAAGAAGAGAGATTACAGCAGTGGCAAGAAAACCCGCAACAGTGGCAGCTCGAACAGCAAAATAAACAAGAGAGAGATTACAGCAGTGGCAAGAAAACCTGCAAAAGTGGCAGCTCAAACAGCAAAATAAACAAGAGAGATTACAACAGCTGTTGGAGGTAAAAAGAAAAGAAACAAGAAGAATGAGAGAATAA